AGGAGACAGAATGGCCCGTAGGCAAATGGAGGTTTAAAAGGGTAAAGGGGGAAACCCCTTGTTGGAATGAGGTGTTTAATTTCATTTGGGTATGTTAATTAGGTGAACCGAATGGGACTTCTGAGTGCTGGACTTCAGGACTTCAATGGTTGGACCTTAGTAGTCAGCATCAGAAGGAAGTGGCCAAATAAGGGGATAGACTTTGGTGGCTAGCTTTAGGGATGTAATCTAACGGTTTTTAGCAAGAAGGGCGGATTGGGGTGTGGGAGTCCATGTGTGACTCAGTTTCCATCCGGAGTCCATTCTTATAAGTTATCTGAGTTCAAGCTTGCCTACTCTGCTTTTTCCAATAACCCTGAGGGTTGTAAGAGACTTCTGATTTGGTCCATAAGAAAAGAACACACTATCTAGAAGACAGTACACTGCTGATGACAACCCTCAGGAACATCAAGAGAGAGAGTGAGGCTGCTCCCAAGCAGCAAGCGCACATTGGTTAGGAGGCTGCTCACTCTAGGACAGGAATGGTCTTGTGATTAGATACTGACTGACCGTCTGTGCTGTGCTTTGTTCTGCTTTTGAAATAAACTCTGGGCTGTTTGGCTGCTTTGGCATGACCAGACCAGACAGACCTCCCAATTCTATCCTGTATTTTCTGTCTCTTTTCCTTTTATCTGACATTTCCTCAGCCTTGACGATCCCCAATCCAGGAACCCCGGCTGACTTTATAGGAGACGGCTCCTACAGATGGAACCCAGCCGTGTGGCCCCTGGGAAGGGGAACTTTCATATGGCCATCTCACGTTAAAAGAGCGCTTGGAAAAGCAGAGGTGTGGTTAAAAAAAAAAAAAGTCAATTTTGGGAGTATTAAGAGCAGTCATGCAGTGTAAATAAAAATAAACAGCAGTCCTGTGGTGTAAATAAAAGGCTAGCTGCGCAGTGGGAAAAAAACAAATAAAAGGTAACTCAAGTATAAGCATAAGTATGTAAGTATAAGTAAGGAGTAGCTTGAGACGTAATTATGGGCCAGGGAAGCAGCAAACAGCTGTCTGTACATTTACTTATAGATATTTTAAAGGTTTGGGGTACTAAGGAAGGACAAGAGCAATTGCTTCAGTTTTTGAAATGTGTAAAGGATGTATGGCCCTGATTCCCTGCAGAAGGGACCGTGAGTCTAGAGATTTAAAAGGGTGTGAGTCAATGAGCACTCTGTCCTGGTCTCTGTTTTGACTATTACTGTGTTGCTGTTTTGGTTTATATGTTCATGCCTTTGAAAAGTTTAAGTGGTACCAGTACCTGTTTGTCTGTCATTACTGTCTACTGACCTCCTTTGTTGTCCTGGTGGTGAGGCAGGCAGCCTCTGCCTCTGTGTGTTTTATTGGATCAGTACCAGGTCATGAAAGAAAAGCTCAAAGGAGAGGCATGGCAAGGGCCACCTCCCTCCGTTGTCTTCCAGCCCACAGCCAGCCAGCAGCTCCTGCAGAGGGGGCAGGGAGTGGGCACACTCAGGCACACTCAGGTGGGCAGAGAGGCTACTACAGAGAGACACGCTCACGTGAACGGGGCAGCAGATACAGAGAGAC